TAATTCCCTCTCCTTCCTTCCCTTTTTCTCTTATTTCCTTGTGGAGTGAAATGTATTTCTGTACCCAATGTGTGTATATATTCTTCCCTCTTTTGACCAGTTCAGATGAGAGTGAGATTCAAGTGTCAGCTACCCCCTCCACTTCCTCATTCTTGTTGGTACAGATGTCTGTTTGCACACCATGTTTATGTGAGATAATTTCCTTTCAATTTCTTTGCCTTTCCCCTACTAATGTATTTCTCCTCCCTTCTTTTCCATTCTTCTTAAGATCAGGACAAAACAGCATCATTCCCAGGTCTTGTCTAATTCGGCTGCCTTTACAATCTTGATGATGATAGAGTATAAAGGGGACATTCATATCATCTCTCTATATTACATTTGGAGTTGAAGCTGATACTGGATCTTACCCTTACCCTTACCCTTACATCTCTCTATATTACATACATTACATCTGTTTAGTCCTTTGTCAGTGTTCATTCGTTTTATGTATCTCTTAACTTCTGTTTGAATTTCAAAGTTTCTACACAGCTTTTTTTTTTCTTTAAATCAAGAATGTTCTGAAGTCCTCAATAAAGGTCCATTTTTATTCCTATGGGATTATACTTAGTTTTGTAGAGTAAATTCTTTTTGACTACAAGCCTATAATACCCTTTGCATTCTGGTAATATATTGGAAGTTCTGCACTCTCTTATGATAGCAGCTGCTAAATCATATGTGATTCTGAATGTGGCTCTTTAGTAATTGAGTTCTTTCTGGTTCCTTGAAGTATTTTTTTTCTTTGATTCAGAAGTTCTGGATTTTGGCTATAATGCTCTTTGAAGTTTTTATTTCTGGATTTCTTTCAGGAACTGGTTGATGCTATTTCCACTTTCCTCTCTATTTTTTAGAAAGCTGGGCAGTTTTCTGTTAAGATTTCTTGAAATGTTTTATGATTTTTTTTTTTACAATTTCCACACCAAACAGTATTTTATTTTGTATATTTGTCCCATTATCACCCCCATGCTAGGATTTTTTAACTGTCAAATGTACATGGTGAAAAAAAAGTCAGCAAAAAAGGGTGCCACCTGGATATAGTTTACCCCGATATTAACTCTATTTAAAACTTCTGGGTCCCAAGTCCACTCAAACTTTGGCCTAGCAGTAGTAGGTGCAGCAGTCCAGCTATACTGTTATCAGATTAGCTTATTACTTTTGCACACATAAGGCTGATCAACGTGTCAGCCTGAAACAGATCATGTACTTTAACTGAACATGGCAAATATTCACTCTAACTTTTTACCTCGTCATTTGATGCCCTAGTAAATTGGCATGCCTGAGCACATAACCTGAAATCCCTCCAGATTTACACACAATGGCATGCAGACAGGTAGAGATCAGTAAAGGAACTCCACTCCCACATCATGTGAAATACCAGATCTGCTCCCCTAGACTAGAACCCAATGTGCAGGTTCAGGAAAAAATGAGATTTATAAGACAAAGGAAAGAGGGCCTAACCATCTGACTTTGCAGGGTAGAATTCGGTGGTAAACAGATCCAAACATATTCTTAGTACTTTATGCTTTAGTGACCTAGTTGTAAAATTACTCCTACAGGCTGGCAAGAGGTCAGCTTTAATACCAGCAAGAGGACATCTGGTACTGGATTTTAAAGTTGCTGCTGTACCAGGGCTTCCACATTAAGAGGTGGGGCAACTTTCTCGAAGTATTGCTATCAGGGTGTGCCATTAAGCACCAGAAACAATGACCAAGTCTTTTAGCTGCTCTTTACCATGTGCCTTTCTTTATTGGCTATTCAAAGATTAGAAGCAGAGTTGATCATTTTGACTTGCATTTACTATATGTGACAGTTTGCTGAGAGTGTAGAGAAGAAAAAAAGACCTTTTCCAAGTTCAAAAAAAAAGTTATCTGCTAATCCATCTCATAGATATGACATGGTAATATGTGAAACAATCAAATAAGCCTAGGGTAATTTGTTTACATGGCTTTAAATTCTCGAGATTACTTAAATTCACCTCTGATCCATAAGCCTTACATAATACAGATCTTGGAAAACTGATGGGAGCCTCAGGGCCCAGGGAAGAAGTGAGAGATTCCTTTTTATCTCTAAGATCAAAATCCAAACTTTGGGCTAACTCAGACTTCAAAGATGTTGAGTCACAGTTGTTTTTACACTGGTGGGTATCAGCAGAATGACTGAATCTACAGGATGGCCCCCATCCACCAAAGGTGTAGAGAAACACATTCCAAACTGGAAAGTACTAAGGGATACTCGCCCCACCTTTCTTTAAACAGCTGTGACCCTACTTGAGACCAAAGATCGGCCAAATGTATAGCAGATTTCAGAAACTCAGCATGGCATAGTCAGGAAGATCTGGGTTCTGGTCCTGCTTAACACACTGACATATATTGGCTGTTGGAAACTGGGCAAGTCAATTAGTCCATCAGTGTTCTAAGCAACTATAAAACTAAATTGCAGAAGGGTCAGACTACATTGGCAGAGGTAATTTCCTCACTCAGGAATTTCTTAATGGCTATGTAATCACAGTTATCTATCTAATCTGCTTTCAAACAGGTCAAGTTTTGTGTGGGAGTTGTTTTCATTTTCTGATGTGGTCCTGACTGGCCACAAAAGGCACTCACTTATAAAGCATTTACAGCTAAGTGGTGGGGAAGACCAATAAGCCCCCTGAACCCAAATTTAGTCACTGAGAGAGCACAAGAAAGAGAAGTGGGCCTGTGACCATTGACCTGGAGAATATTGAAACATACCAGTAAGTGATGATTCAGAAAAGAATACTATGAAGAAGGGGCAGCTAGGTGGTGCAGTGGATAGAGCTCCAGCCTTGAAGTCAGGAGGACTTGAGTTCAAATCCAACCTCAGATACTTGATACTAGCTGTGTGATCCTGGGCAAGTCACTTAACCCCAAATGCCTCACCAAAAAGCCAAAAAAAAAAAAAAAGACCATGAAGTAGTGGTCAGACAGGTTAAAGCACCAAGTGTCATGAAAACCCAAAGAGGGGAAAATATCCAGAAAGAGAGAAAACAGTGATAGGGATAAAGTGATAGTGTGATTGGGGAATTCCTCATCTCAGAAGTCCTATGATCCTTCTGAGATGAGGAATACAGTAATTCTTCTCTCCTTGGTCCTTTTGGCTGGAGGTCAATAGATTAGGAGGCAAGGTTAGAAGAGAAAAGGTTTAACTGGTATCAGCTGATGGGCGGTAGCCAGAAGTGGATAGCAAGGCTCAGTCCAAACAAAGCTAGATACACATATAATAGGATTTTACCAGATTTAAGGCAACATTACAAAAAGATATGTAAAAGAAGGCTATCAGGCAAGGCTGGTTAGTTACTTTCCTTATTTGGGAGTTTGAATAATAAGGACAGGATGTCAAGTTATTTGGGGAGAATGTGATTAACCTTAGGGTTAGAACATATTAACCCTGGGGTCTGTTCCACTGGGATAATGTTTAATTAATCTTATCAGAGTATCTTTTGGGCAGGAAATCTCAAGATAGTGGAAGCCTCTTTCAAGATAGACACCATTGGAATAATTCTATAGCTGAATAAAATATAGCCTGAGAATTTGTTTCAATTCACACAACTCCTTATTTCTGTTTTTTTGACCTCTAAGATTACTTTTTCTGGGGAGAAGACATTTCTTGGAAATTGTTAAGTCCAGGTCCTCCACACTGTCAAAAGCTACAGAGAAGTTAAGAACTGAGGAATGGCCATAGGATTTGGGTGGTAAAGTGAAATAAGCACTGACTCCAAAGTCAGAGGACTCTAACATAAATTAAAAAAAAAAAAGGTTAAGAAACCCTGAAAAGAGGATGGCCAAGTTGTTGTTGTTGTTTAATTAAAGGATGAGGAGACCTAGGAATATATTAGAAAATACAAAAAGGAGCTGGTAGAGAAAGAAAAAAATACAGAATGCTTCACAAATTTGCTGAAAACATAAGAGCTCCTAAATTGCTAACTTTAGCGCAACTTAATGAAAATGTAGACTCGAGAAAATATTCCTCAGAGAATTCTAATTTTAGTGTACTCATTTTACTGAAGTGAAAACTGTGCCAAATGAAAGATACATTATTGATTTAAAATACTTTATTCACTTTGTTTCAAACATAGATGATTAACGATCCTATTCAAAAATATATAATCATTATACAAATTAAGGATTATAAAAATAAACAAATCAATTACAAAGTATTTTGAATGATCTACTATGTGCCAATTATGTTAGAGGCTGTAGCTGGATACTGCTGAATAATTTGTTAAATCAGACAAAGTAATTCTTGGTTAATCTTGGATTTTGGAAGAAATGCAACAGATTACAACTGCAGCCATTAAAAACAAATAATTGTGTTCTATCCTACTGGATAAAATAACACATTTATAGAGGGCAGGGATTACTTTATGTCTTTGTATTTTCAGTGCCTAGAGCTCAGAGCCTGACATGAAGGAGAATGCTTAAGAAATATTTATTGAGGGGCAGCTAGGTGGGGAAGTGGGTAGGGCAGTAGCCCTGGATTCAGGAGGACCTGAGTTCAAATCTCAGCCTCAGACCCATAACACTTACTAGCTGTGTGACCCTAGGCAAGTCACTTGACCCCATTGCCTGGCCAAATTAAAAAAAAAAATGCTTGTTGAATTAAATTAAAATTATCTGTGAAGCCCAGCAATTTAGTTTGGCAATATTTACATCTGTAAAATAAGTTGTTAACATTTCAATGTTTTGTTTGTGTTTTCTTGGGGGGGAGGGGGGGAGGAAGGGACCCAAACATGCTCACAGAGTGCAAATTGCTTTCAAAACGAAAACAAATACACCTATATTCACAGTAAACATAGGAGCTGCTGGTTATGAACTTTGAATAAAAAATAGTTTGAGAGACTGCTTGAGCCTCTCCTGGAAGTAAAAACATATTATATATAGTGTGCCTTTATATTCTATTTCTTAAAAAAAAAAAAACCAAAACAAAACAAAAAACAACTGAATCCTCAATGCAATTCAACAAACATTTCCTATGCACCCACTATATTCAAGGCACTGTACTAAGTGCTGGAGGGCCTTGGTTTCTAATACTTAAAGACATTTAATTTAATAAACAATTACATGACGTAACAGATGTGAAAACATTTTTGAGATACACAATATTCAATTCATTCATAGACAACAGAAAGTCCTAAGATTCCTGATGTAGACAAATTCTAAGCATGTAGTTATGACTGTATTAATTATAGTAGCAGCAATGAAAATTAACTGAATTTCCCAACAACAAATCTTTACTCCCTTTAATTTTACTCAGAAGAGTACTTAATGGAGGTCAAATGGTAAAAGTAAAAGAGATCAACATATCCTTTCACTGCACAGGAGAAAGGAGTTGCTTCTGGATCAGTTTTTGTTGGATTGCATTGCAGAGCAACACCTATCTATAAACTTGATTAAAGATTTGTAAATTTAAAGCATAATTTACTCCCCTCCCCTGGCAAAATATTTCCTGATTTAATTAATCTCGCCCAAATGTGTGAGTTTCCTTTGGTTTATCAATCCGATAGAGAACCTCTGCAGGTAGGAAATACCCAAGATACTCTACTGTATCTGGAGTGGTGTCATAGTGATAGTGTCCGCCTTCTCCATGATGACTAAAACAATGAGTATGCTCTAATCGCAAATCAAACCCCTAGAAAAACAAATCACATATTAAAATGTTAATTATAACAAACTTTTGTATAGAATTTAAAGACAAAAGATCACAATGCTAATTTTTGTACATTTTAAGGAACCTTCAAATATAAGACCACCTTAGTTCTTTAACAAGAGAAAACTTGTTTTCTAATTCAGCTCTATATGAGAATCAGTGCAGGTATCAGATATGCAGGGCAAATTTTTCTCTGGAAAACACTGTAAAACTTTTCTGGAGGGAGTGAATTATGTTCTTGAAAACAGAATAGAAACTACGAACCAACTCATTTTAGAGTGGTTATTGCTAAGCATTTTACCAAATGCTATGAACTTCCCATCGCTAGTGATATGGCATAGAAGAGCAGCCCCATAGCCTATTTTAATTTTTCTGAGACTTAATACTTCTTCTAAAAGTCTTTAATCATTTCTTCAAAGCTAATTCATTTCATAAAAATACATATCCAAGTTAAAAACTGGAATGTCCTCGACACAAATCCTTGACATTTACTTTTATACGTCAATGGATCTGTGATGTCATCAAAGTAAATAATCGTTCCAGTGGTACCAATCACAGCCTATCCAGACTTTTTCATCCAATACAATTCTTGTCCATGTCTTCCAATAAATCCTTCACAGAAGGTCCACCCAGTGTGTTAGGAGACTTCCTCTAGATCTCTCAACATTGTACGGGTACAAATGGAACATGTAGGCTATCCATTAGTTATAAAATGGTCTCATCTCAACTTGGCCTGCTAGATTCCTTTTCTAGTCATTCCCTTTCACAGCTCCCTAATATTATCTCTAATGCTGATTCTCTTGCATAATTCTTTGCTGGTAATATGGTGCAGCCTAGTAATAGCCACTACATGTGTCTCCATTGCCCTCTGGGTAATTTGTACCTTTAATTATTTGGAAACTGTGATTATGCTTCACATTCAAATAGCATCAATGAATGAATATTGATTTTTTAAAAGATGGATTAAAAGTACTGCAATATCCCAAATAAAATCCAGCCCATTCTCCTAATATTCAATTTTGGGGCTAGTTTATTACTCATCTGAAGGATCTGTCCAAGATAAGTGATGGAAATGTCTCTAGACAAGAGGCAGACTAACTTCATCCACTTAGACTTTCGGTATGGATGGTATGGTTGAGGTCTTTTGAATGATAATGCAGAGGGGCTCCACAATGGTTTGGACTTAATGCACTCAGTAGGATGTTATCTGCAAACAGGAGCATCTGGAGGACCCTCACTATCTACAGGAAATGGATTCTTGAATTGGACATCCTCAATAATAGTGGCAAATACTTCGAGTAAGGATGTCACCCTGTTCTATGTCTTACTTCATATGAATAAATCAGAGGGTTGAACAAAGTTATCTCTTATTATATTTTCCAAAGAATTTTGTATGCTTTTGACACACACGGGAAAAACCTTGTTGGAGGAGAGCTTTTAAAGCACTTTGCTTTACTGAATTCAATGCCTTAAACCAAGGGTGGGGAACCTGCAGCCTCGAGCCACATGTGGCCCTCTAGGTCCTGAAGTGGGGCCCTTTGACTGAATCCAAATTTCACAGAACAAATTCCCTTAATAAAAGGATTTGTTCTGTAAAGCTTGGACTCGGTCAAAAGACCTCACCCAAGGACCTACAAGGCCACATGTGGCCTCGAGGCTGCAGGTTCCCCACTCCTGCCTTAAACCACCAATGATCAAGTGAGTATGTAAAATGCTTTGCAAACCTTAAAACTCTATTAAATGCTAGTTATTATTTTTTAAAAAGTAGCCAACTGTAAGTATAATAGGATCTTCTATGCTCTGTACATTTCAGTCAATTACATGACTATAAAGATACTTTGTACTTTAAAATATCACTTGTTAACTCACTAGCTGTGTGACCCTGGGCAAGTCACTTAACCTCATTACCTAGTCAAAAAAAAAATAGTATTCAAAATATCACTTGCTAAAGCCAGCTTATTCCTTTCTTATTAACACCTTATTTCAGTAAGGAGGCCCTCAGTACATTTGTGCACTGATATAAAGATTTTGTAGAGACTAGAAAAGAAGGCATATGTCAGTTTTTAAAGATAGGTTTTGGTAGCAATAATATCCATAATTTTTTCTAAGGGTTTGGAATCTTTCTTCTTTCAGGCACCCTGAGAAACCTTCAATGCTCTGCAGCACAGAACTGCTCTCCATATATTTGGTTTAGTCTAGAAAGCTCTCTCCATCTTCTTTTTTCTCCTTTGGTGCCATTTCTACTTCATCATGAAGTATAATGGGAACTGAAACATTTAAGAGTCTAGATTCAGGGGTTCCACTATCAATAATGTAATTGCTACAGTAATCCTGACAATTTTCCCGTTTTTTTATCTGCCTGGTGTATTCTTTCCAGTTTCATCCCTATATACCTGGGCACTGATAGCTTAATTGGGTCTCTGTAAGCATGTTTTCCCTTCCATTGGTTCTCACTATTTTATGAAACAATACTACTCACACTCTTCTACTATCTTCTTCTGAAGGATTTCATGAATGATTTTACATTCTAAACCAGTATAGCCCTTGGCTGTAATGTCTCATTGCTTGGCAAAGAGATCAGCTGTTTACTAGACAAGATGTTTTGTAGACTTGTTCTCTTCATTGTGGCAATTATTTTACACTTGGCTTAATTTCCTTAGGAAATGTTGATAGTCTGTATCTATGTTTGATTGCTTGTTTACCCATTTCCCACTTTTGGCATCAATAACTAGTTTTAAATAAGTGAACTTGGAGTTGGTTTAATTTCATTCATATTTTCTGATTTTTATTCCAACTTGGCATCTATTTTGGTCTTTGATCTACTAATTCAATATTCTGACTGTACATAAGAAAGCTGATTTGGAAATGAGTCCAACATTAGTAATAGGTTGTTCTCTGCCTCCCACAATGTGATAAATTTTATTTTTTTGGTAGTATTTTTTGATGCTTGTCATGTCTTGTGTTTTCTAGCTCTCTTCTTGATGTATAAATATGAGGCTTTCATAAAATATACAAGTCTTTGGCGTTAACTTCTTAGTCAAATATTCCAACACATTTCTCAGTGTTCCCTATTATGGCCATTTTTTGAATATATGTTACTTAATTTGTAAGGTCTTATCAAACTCTTCATAGGTTTTCCTCCTCCTACTCTGCAATAGATAGCACATAAGGTGTAATTATCTTCACTCTTTACAAATGCTCGCTATGGACATTATAGCATAAGATGATCAAGTGTTCTGTGAAAAGCTATTTCTTATCTTTAGAGTAAAACCAACTCCCAATTCCTTCATTTGCTTTTACAAAGAGAATCTGTGAGTCATTATTACATTTAGCTGCAACCTTCTTTTGTCTTCTGCTTTCATTTATAGTAAGAATGTTACTGTTAATAGAATTCAGTATGTCTAGTAGTATAAACACTGGTCTTTGGACAAGGTTCTTACATTTAGAATACCACCAATTAAATTCATGTTTATAGTCTAAAATATGTCCAACTCTTAGCATCCTCCATCCTTTTTTCAACTATTTTGTCATTGCCACTGTAGAGAGGAAGGGGCCACAAAGGACTGAGGACCTCTTCAAATTTTCTTCGTTTAATTAGTTAATTCCAAAAAGTTATATTTTAATATCTTATCATGGGATGGCAGTGACCTAGTGTTCTTGAATATTATGCCAGCAAAATATATATATTTTGTATATAAAATATACTCTGGAAGGAGTATATATTTAGTATACAAAATGCAAAGTTAAGTCAAAATTAGCATTTTGGGGCTCTGTGTTTTCAGCAAATTTGTGAAGCATCCCGTATTTTCTCTTTCTCTCCTGGCTCCTTTCCTGTTCCCTAATGCATTCCTCAATCTCCCCATCCTTTTAAAGTGACAAATTATGTCTGCTTTCTGAAGAAAAGCTCAAGTACAAAGGAAGTCCTCACAAGAAGGCTGGTCACCAGGGGTAATAAAATTCATTTGGCCATAGAAACCCATGAAACAAATCACTTGTCATGATTCTGGTTAAATCTTATTTTAAAAGAAGAGAGAGAGATAAACTTACTGGATCTCGAGAAACGAAAACAGGCTGACAAACCAAGGGAGCCTCCATTTCAAAAAAATGTAACCAATTATTCACATCCTCATCAGAGGTCAGTGGGCAAGATGAAAATTCTGGGGGCTACAACAAAAATTAAGAATATAAACATGCTAAATGTTATTGGTGGTTTCTTAAAGTTGACTCTAAAATTTTTATCAAAGTCATGTTTCTTCTCTTTAATATTTTATAACTGCGAGGGATTTAGGCCAGCCAGTCAGTCAATAAGCATTTATTAAGCATCTACTCTGTGCCAGGAACTGTGCTAAGTGCTAGGGATACACAGAAATGCTCTATCCACTGTACCACCTAGTTGCAAAAGACAGTTCCTGCCCTTAAGCAGCTCACAGTTTAATGGGAAGGAAAAGCTGCAAACAACTATGTTCAAGGTATATACAGAATAAATTGGAGATAATCAATAACAATAAGGCACTGGAGTTACGGGGAATTAGCAAAGGCTTACTGTAGAAGGTGGGGTTTTAGGTGGGACTTGAAGGAAACCAGAGAAGCCAGAAAGTGGAAATGAGAAGGGAGAACAAACTATAACACAGCGGAACAAGCACTGGTCCTGTAGCCAGAAGAAACTAGGCTCAAATTCCACTTCAGATCCTACTTGTGTAAAGTTGAACAAGTCACTTAATCACCCTGAGTTTTATTTTCCTTATCTATGAAATAAGGAATATGGACTAAATGGTCTGTTTTAGCTGTTATGCTATAATCTTACCAGATGAAGAAAACACCAGGTCTTTCTCATGGTTTTGGAGGCACATTCTGAATAAATATAAGTATTATTACAGTTAATCCTCTATTGTTTCTTCCTACCGTCTAAACTCAGCCTTACTTTAGTTGACTTCTTTCAACCAATCAAAAAGCATTTTTAAATGATGACTTTGGGCCAGGCATTGTGCTAAGTACAATACAAAGAAAAAGTAAAAACAGCCCCATGCCTTCAATATGCTTATGCTCTAATGTGAAGAGACACAACATATGTAAATCTACCATATCAGAGAACCAGTATTTGGTCTCAGCTTTGCACAGACTCAAAGTCATTCTAATGGTTCTAAATATGACTATGGTGAAATGGCTTGATCTGTTTTCTAGCTTTCTCATCAATAAAATGGGAATAATAATGTTTAAACTGCCTAGTTAATAGCACTTTTGAGATGAAAAAGCCCAATTAGTAATATTCATAATAGCTAGCAATTATATAATGCTTTAGGGTTTGCAAACATCTTTCTATATGCTATCTTGTTTTGTCCTCACAACAACCACATGAGGTAGAGCCTATTATTAATCCCATTCTATTGATAAGTACAGTAAGGCTGAAAGAATTTAAGTGACTTGTTCAGGGTCACGCAATTATGTAAATGTCTGAGGGAGGACTTAAAATAAGGTTTTCCTCAATCCAAAAACAACACTTTATTCCAAGTCACTGCTACTACCTGACTTTTTATCTCTACTGATGTATGAATATCAGAAAAGCAACTCTTTGTACCTCCTGAACTCAAATGGTAATATAATTTTGTGCTATAAATCCTTATACTTTTCTTTTAGTGATAATAAGAATAATAATCAGGTAATTTTTTAAAAAAACGAACCCACATTTAATGAGAGCCTGGCACAAGGCATATAACTAGCAACGCATGAGTAAATTAACTTTATTATACTGCCCAAAGAGAAGAAAAATACATTTCAATTTTTCAGATTTAGACTAAATAAGAAAGATAGATATGTTTTTCAAAGTCAGGTATGGTTGCTCTGCATTTTCTTTCTTTCTTTTTTTTTTTTTAGGCAATTGGGGTTAAGTGACTTGCCCAAGGTCACACAACTAGTTAAGTGTCAAGTGTTTGGTCTGAGCTGGATTTGAACTCAGGTCCTCCTGACTTCAGGGCTGGTGCTCTATCCCCTGTGCCACCTAGCTTCCCCCATTGCTCTGCATTTTCAAATATGACCTTTATGTGATACAAGTCTTTAAGATGTTCATACTGTAGCAGGAATTTGAGATAAAATCTGTTAACTATTAACTCACAATGGCACAATTTATCATTATCACTAATAAATTTTAGATAATAAAGAAGTGGTTGGAGGAGTCTTGGTATTCAGGATTTATAAAGTACACATTAGAGAACCTGAAAAGTGCTTTAAATTTAACCAAAAAAAAAAAAGTAAGAAAGAAAGGAAAAGCTTACCATGATATGAACCTTTATTTTTCCTTTCTGAACAACAAATGTGCCTCCCATCCCTATGGGTTTATCTCCATAATGTTTTTCAAGAGTTTCTCTCATACAAGTCACAAAATTCTGCTTTCCAGTTCTTCTTTTGGCTTTTACTTCAATAACCTATAGTACATGAATACACATACCCCCAGTCATTGTCAGAAGCTATAAGTTCATAAACAAGATAAAAAATGAAAAATCATGTTAAGTTTAATATAGCAATCTATATTTGGTCTCAGGTATATGTAGTTGGAGCAGTATATCTTTAGAAGGAGACTTGGTGCTAAGGAAAACACATTACTCAATTATTTTCAGAGTGTATTTATACTATAATATAATCTTACATGTATACAGCTATAAAAATAAATGACTAGAACTGTGACAGGGTCATAAATGACATGATTATTAGCATGAATATTACAGAAATGAAATATCATGCAATTTAAATATAGTCATGTGTTCATCCATTTGACTTTCTTTTAAATGATAATAAAAGCCTGTCCCATCTGGATCATGCCTCCCACAATACCTGATCTGTACATGAGATAACAGCTCAGTGCTGCCATTTACAAAGGACTCTGATTGGTGGGGGAGTACAATGAAAGATGGAAGTAGAGAAAAGTGGCCAGCAATGGCTGCACAAACATGAGAATAGCGAGGCAGAGCTTCAGTGGGAGTGAAAAGAGAAGAGAGAGCCACAGAGGACAGTAGTTATGATGCCTCCTTCTACAGATGAAGAAACTGAGGTTGACAGAAGTTAAGTAGCTCGATAGCCTCAGTATCTTTATCTCTAAAAAGAGATGTAGACTGCATGGCCTCGGAGGTACCTTCCAGCTCTGATCTGTGGACCTGTGATCCTGAACCCATGCTCCGTCTGGACCATGCTGATGACGACAGAGCCCAGGTGGAAGCGTTCAGTTATGCTTTAGCCTGCCCTTTCACACCCTGAGGAAAGACTTTAAGAAGCAGAAGGCAATGTACTTTTGAGCATCCACCCCTGAGACTAGGAGTGGACAAAGGACTGTCCTCCCCCATAATGGGGAGTCAGGGTGATTAAATGGGGTGGTGTTGGAGATGAGTGCGTGTGTGCGTGTGTGTGTGTGTGTGTGTGTGTGTGTGTGTGTGTGCAGAGAATGTTTTACTGATTCCCCTCTTTGTTATCTATATTGTTAAAATGCTTTTGCTATTGGATTTGCTTCAGATAAGGATTCAGCCATGAATGGATGGTTACCCCAAAACTGTCTAATGAATCTGGGAGTAAACAAATACTCTGCACTTGACTAAGCCAAAGCAGGATAAATGAGTCACGACCTAGCTCTATCTCAGGCCCCCCACTTTTTAAACTATTTGGTGTTCTATTCAACTCCCAGCAATCTTGAAACTTACTTTATGGAGACTGATGGGAATTGAAGATGAGAGTTGCTTCAATTTTCCCACCTTCTCTGGGACAATGCCCTTTGCTACTTCTCTATCAATTCTAGTATATGAGTCATAAGTGGCAGATGAATGAATGACTATGGAGCTGCAAAAATAATAGTTGAGTAACATATTCCTTAGCAGCTTGGTTGACTCTATCGAACCAATTACACTTCTCAAAAAAAAATGCCCTGTTGGCCTTTGGTTTCAAAGGAAAAACGGTAGTGTGTAGCAAGTATAATAATCCTTACCCTTAAAGCCAAAGATTTCCTCTCTGAATGTAGTAGTATTTTACGGCTCTAGGATATTATGTATTTTATTTTATAATTATTTTCTGTTTCTTAGGCAACTTCAAATACTAATTTAAAAGTTTAGAGCAAAAAAAAGTTAAGTTTGGGGCTTTTTATTAACAATGAAAATGCTGTCTTTTTCTGAGTGTTCACCTTGCCAGGCTGGCCTTCGCTGGCAAACAGATTGGCCAGTAATGCGAATCCAAAGTCATTGTACTTCTTACTATATTTCTCTAGCAGGCACCCTCCATCTACAGGGTTAATCTGGGCAAAATAGCTTCCATTCACAGCAGCCTTGTGATCACTTTTAGTCTGAATAATTGGCATAAACTGGGAAGAAAAGCACAAAAAAATCATTATTCAATTCTGGTATTTCTATTCAAGGAAAATGCTTTTAGTTCCAAGACACTGTTGATGCCATTATATTGGAAATGTACTGACATAAATAATAACAATATCAGTAACAGCAGCTTACATTTACATAGCACATTATAGCTATAAAGACTTAACACAAATTATCTTCAGTAACATAATAAAAATGTTGATTTATATCAGGCTTAAATAATTCATTTTGAATTCAATTTTCTGCCCAAAAGGCAGAAAAACTCTGGCTAATATAATTCCTTGAAAATTTTCATTTTTAATAAGCCATGAAAAGTAGCATGATAAACAAATGCTAATAAAAAAATCTTATCCAGTTCTAGATCAATGACCCTAGGATCTTTAGGGTAAGTACTCCTTTGTCTTATTAGATTTGTAGCTCCTTCTTTTAGAAATCTATTTAGGACATTTTGCATTTCTTAAGCATGAGGACAAAATTCTACACTTAGACTTAGAAGAGAAAATAAATCATTAACACCCATATCTAAAATGGGTTAGGAGAAAGTATGTATTAGAGAGAATCTACCCTCTGATTACAAGAAAGTCAAGAAGTATTGTGAAATACACATTAACATTGTGATAACAATAATGTCATAGCAAAAATATATGAATTATCAATGACAATAAAACAATTGCCATTAATATTTCTGTAATGCTTTATGGTAACCAAGCACTTCACATATATCATCTAATTTTATTTTTTTCAATACTCCTTTGGGAATAGGTTGCAAAAAGATTATCCCTATTTCACAGATGAGGAAATTGAGGTAAAGTAATTCCTACACTGTAAGTAAATGGCATAGTTGGGACTAGAATTCATGCTTTCAGATTTAAAAGTCTATGGACAGAGCACCAGCCCTGGAGTCAGGAGGACCTGAGTTCAAATCCAGCCTCAGATAAAACACTTGCCACTTACTAGCTGTGTGACCCTGGGCAAGTCACTTAACCCCAATTGCCTAAAAAATAAACAGATTTAAAAGTCTAGGTGTTTCTCCACTAAACCACAATGGACATACTTCTCAGTAGTTAAATAAATGTCACTACCCCTTTTGAAATAGCTTAAACCATTTGTGCCCTATAACATTTCCTAATTGAAAGATGCTTTGGGAGCCAAAAGAAAAAAAGAAGAAAGAATTATTTCCATTTATGAGCCAAGAATCAACTTAAGTTTTTTAAGAGTGATTTCTTACAACATGAATGTACTAAACAGAACCTTAGGTACAGCCAAAATAAGAGCTTGGACCATTTATAACTGAACTTACACCCTGTGGGCTTATGAAACTGAAGGCCAGAGACACCCCAAATTATAGTATACAACATAGTCATGGAATATCAAACAGCCTGAAGCTAGTCATTCTGGTGCATTCTCCTATGAGGCAGTGGAAATAGGGAAAAGGCAACCCAAAATATACTACTGCATTAACAGACAAGTCAATATGGAAAAGGACCTCAGCATTGATTCCAAGAGTCTGAAACGGGGCTGCTCCTGCTCCAAGAATGAAAGCCCCGGGCAGCTCAATTTCCTTTGCAACAATATTCATATCATAAACCTAGGAAAACAACACACAAACAACAATGTTAATTACACCTTTCTTGGAGTTCCCAATTAAAATCTTAATCCCCCATTCCATGACACCTCCTCATCCCTGTGCTTAGCGATCTTGACTTGTACAATATATGTGTGGTTAAAAGCAAAATACTCACCTTTTTTTTGTTCACAAGAGGCATGAGGTAAGGAACCCCACCTACTTCTGCAATTCTAGGTTTCCCACAGATTCCTGTAAACATATAGGTCAATTTTTTTTTCAAACCAGACCAAACTTATTATGTCTTTCTTTCCATTTATACCAAAGTGCAAAATGACAATAAATAATTTATTTTGTTAAGACAGTTTCATCTAAGTCTTTGCAAAGGATTTCAAAAATGGCATAAAAGGGGCAATAGCAACGTCAATGAAATGTATTATTCTTACTCCCCATACCCAGCAACTCTTCTTTCACCCAACCTGGATGAATGAATATGGCTACTGGAACAGAGAAAAATCAAAAGTCTAAACTGAGAATGAATGAATCCATGATGAAATCACTTTATATCTCTGTTGAAAATCTTTTAAGTTTTTTGCTGAACATTTTTGTTTACAAATGTTTTGTTCTGATAAGGATACAATTATTTTAGAAATTAGTTCCAGGAGTGCTGCATTTGGAGTCAATAGGGTCAAGGTTCAAATTCTGGTTCTGCCACTTGTGTGACCTTAGGCAAATCACTTAACTTCTGGACTCAATTTCCTCAACTGTAAAATTTACGGGATTCATTCAGGGGTGGGGAACCTGAAGCCTCGAGGGTCTAGGTCCACATGTGGCTTGTGAAGTTTGGATTTAGTCAAAGTGCTGCACTTGAGGACCTAGAGGGCCACATGTGGCCACAAGGCCACAGGTTCCCCACCCCTGAACTAGAGGACTTTGAAGATCCCTTCCTTCTTTAAATCTGTGCTCATTTTTACTAACATACTGCCCAGTATTGTTTGTTAGTTTCAGGTTATTAGGGACAACCTCAGCTGCTCAGATAAATGTAATTGTATTTACATTTTAAGCAATACTGAAGTTAGCTGCTTGGTAGCTATTGGAAGAATGAAGATATCCCTTTAAATATCAAACCAAAAAAAAAAAAAAGAGGTAGAAAATCAGCCCCTTGGAAAAAGACAATACTGCAAGTTTCATACAGATAAAGAAAATCAAGTTACCTCTCCTAGGCAATTCAATTCAATAAGTATTATTTATCAAATGTCTTGTTGTTTGGTCATTTCAGTCATGTCTAATTCTTTGTGACCCCATCTGGGGTTTTCTTGGCAAAGATACTGGAGTGTTTTTACATTTCCTTCTCCAGCTTATTTTACAGATGATGAAACTGAGACAAACAGGGTTAAGTGACTTGCCCAGCATCACACAGCTAGTAAGTGTCTGAGCCCAGATTTAGACTCAGCAACAGGAATCTTCTTGACTTTAGGCCCTGCACTCTATTGCGCCACCTAGGTGCCCATCAAATGCCTACCACATGCTAGATCCTATGCTAGGTGATGTGGGAAAAAAACACAGATACAAAATAGTCCCTCTTCTCAAGAAACGTCCATTCTCCTTGGAGGAATAATACATTTGGAGATAAGTATAAACAAAATGTGTAGAAAATGTCAGGAAGTGAGGAGAGCATTGCCTACTGGAGTACCTACCAAATGGCAACACTTGAGCTGACCCTTTAAAGGAGAGCAGAATTGCAAGAAGTGGTAGCAAGGAGGGAAAACATTCCAGGCAGAAAGAACAGACAGTACAAAGGTACAGAGGTGGGAGATGAAACATCTGATACAATGAATGTAATGGGATACCAGTATGATGTAAGAAATGACAAACATGATAACTACATGAGAAGGGAAAGAATTACCTGAACTAATGCAAAGTGAGGTACGCAGAACCAAGAAAACATATACAATACATATACAATGAGTACAACAATGTAAATAGGAAGAAAAACAACCACAAAATAAGTGAAATTCTTAGATCCAGAGAAAAAACATGAGCAACACACTGCCCAAGGCTCCTTCTTAAAGACTGTGCTCCATGGGTGTGAGACACTGAACAAAATATCAGATTCTTGCAATGTATTGATGGGTTTTACTGGATTTGGTTTCTCTTCTTTTTTTTTTTTTTTAAAGAAATTCTCTGTAGTAAGAAATGTGTTTCTGGGAGTGAGATTAAGGAGAGGAGATAGAGATATCTAGGCATTGTAAAAAAAAGATATCAAAATAAGATTTTTTTAAAAAGTCATGTAACAGCAAGGTCAGTTTGTTTTGCCTATCCTTTTTCTACAGCATATTCTGCATTCAGCTTTTCTCTACTCGCACAGCCACAACCCAAATCCAGGCCTTCATCCCCTCTTATCTGGACCATTTATTTCAATAATAGTCCTAATAATAATGAAATCCTAACTGTTTCCCTGTACCAGTCTCTTCCTCCCACAATCAGTCCTTCCCACAGTTTCCCAATTGATTTTCCTAAAGCCCAAGTCTGACCACGTTGTACCCCAGCTCAAGAAGCGCCGATGCCTCCTTCTGTCTGTCTCTCTGCTTCTACTTGTATTCCCATGCTTAGCTCCATGCCTGACCTATAGTAGCACTTAATAAATGTTTGCTGAATTAATAGACAAGTTAAATGGTTTAGCCAAGGTCACACAAGTAGTAAACAGCAGTAAGTAACTGAATGTAGGTAGTCTTACTCCAGGTACCGTATTCTTTGTGTCACAGCATACTTTCATTGTCTTTTGGGCCATGTAAAATTTTTATGTAGATTATGGTGTTTAACTATTTGTGGTTACATATAACACCACTAGAAGACTGCTGGTATTAAAAATGATTTTCAGGGCACAGGACCTGGGAATCAGTAAGGCCAGGTTTGAAATCTTGCCTCAGACACTTAATAGCTGTGTGACCCAGGGAAAATCACTTAACCTCTCTGTGCTGCAGTTTCTTTATGTAAAATGAGGAGATGAGATGGCTGCTGAGGTCCTTTCTTATTCTAAATGTATGATCCTTTCCCATATGCAATCTAATCCATACTTTTCTTTCTATTCAATTCTGGATGGAAGGACAGATGAGATTGCCCAGATCTTCAGGACACATGCTGAGGACTACACCCAAATAGAAGACCTTACAAAGAGAATGTAGTCTAGGTGGAATTCTTAACCTGCACTGACTGAGTAGAAGATGGATCTTTTTGTATAGATGGGAGTAGTCTGACTACAGAGGAATGATCAGAGTCATATACCTAGCCCCTCATTATAATATTTATTCTCTCCTTAATTGTTAACCAATCAGAGTTGATTCTTGCCTGTCGAGAACACCCACTCTTCCAAGGGTATATAAGCATCAAGAGGCCTCTACGAGGGGTTTTTGGTTCACCAAAGAAAGACAAATGACCATCCTTTTGTTAATTATTTACTAGCCAACAAGTCTCTAAAACTTTTCATTGCCACAAGTTCAAACAGTCACTTTTAAGAGCATGATTAGTGAGTAGTTTGAGTGAATAAGATACTTGTAGTGTGCTTAGCACAGAGAATGGCACACAGTAAGCACTGTATAAATGTTCATTCCCCCTCCTTTCCCTTCTCCAGTTTATCTGAAAAAGAACTGACCCAATATGAATCAACACTGTGATCCGATGCTCAAAACAGCTTCTATGATCTTGAGGTTGCATGAAGAAAGGCTTCCAAGAAGGGAGGGGATACTCCCCTGGACTCTGCCCTCGATGGGTCATGTCTGGAGCACTATGTTCAGTCCTGGGTTTCACATTTCAAAAAGGACATTCATAAGTTGGAGACTGTTCAGAAGAAAGCCACAAGAATGGGGGGGAGGGAGGAACATTATTTCCCAAAAGATAAATGGTTAAAGAATATGAAAAAACAGTTCTCAAAAGAATAAATGAAAGCTATCAACAACCATAAGGAAATAAAAATCTTCCAGATCACTAATCATAAGACAAATGCAAATTAAGACAACTAAGGTTCCACTTCATAGATGTCAGATTAGCAAAAGATAACAAAAACAGAAATAACAATCATTGGAGAGGATGTGAAATACAGAAACAATAATCCAAGTGAAATTGTAAACTGATCCAACTATTCTGGAAAGCCATTTGGAACTATACCCAAAAAAGTCACTAAACTAGTATACACTTTTTTTTCATTAATAAATTTATTTATTTTTAGTTTTCAACATTTACTTCCATAAGATTTCCAAATTTTCACCCCATCTCGCCCCTCTTCCCACCCCACGATGGCATGCATTCTGAATATCCCTTCCCCTAGTCTGCCTTCCCTTCTATCTCTCCCCCCCCTTCTCTTATACCCTTCCCCTTCTATTTTCCTGTAGGGCAGGATAGATTTCTGTACCCCATTTCCTGTATTTCTTATTTCCCAGTTGCATGTGAAAACATTTTTTTAAACATGTGTTTTTAAAACTTTGGGTTCCAAATCTTCTCCCTTCCTTCCTCCCTCCCCACCTACCCTCATTGATAAGGCAAGCAACTAAATATAGGTTATACATGTACAGTTATGCAAAACACTTCCATAGTAGACATGCTATGAAAAACTAACTCTATTTCCCTTAATCCTATCCTGCCCCCCCACTTATTTTATTCTTTCTTTTGACCCTGTCCCTTTCCCAATCTGCCCTCCTCTCTATCATCCCCCTACTCTCGTCCCCATCCCCCCCTATTTTCCTGTAGGGTAAGACAGATTTCCATACCCAACTGAGTGTGTATGTTATTCCCTCCTTAAGTCAAATCCTATGAGAATAAGATTCACTCATTCCCTCTTACTTTTCCCCTGTTTCCCCTCCACTGTAAGAGCCTTTTCTTACCTGTTTTTTTTTTGTGAGATAATTTACCCTATTCTACCTCTCCCTTTCTCCTTCTCCTAGTATAATCCTCTCTCTTCCCTTAATTTTATTCTCCATATATATGACCCCTTCATCTTCAACTCACCCTGTGCCCTCTATTTATCTATTTATCTATCTGTCTATATATACATACATATAATTTTTTTCCCTCCAACTACCACAATACTGACAAAGGTCTCATGAGTTACAAATATCATCTTTCCATGTAGGAATGTAAGCAGTTAAATGTTAATAAGTGTCTTATGATTTCTCTTTCTTGTTTACCTCTTCATGTTCCACTTGAGTCTTGTATTTGAAAGTCAAATTTTCTATTCAGCTCTGGTCTTTTCATCAAGAATGCTTGAAAATCCTCTATTTCCCTGAATGACCTTTTTTTTCTCCTGAAGGATTATACTCAGTTTTGCTGGGTAGGTAATTCTTGGTTGTAATCCTATCTCCTTTGCCCTCCAGAATATTATATCCCATGCACTGTGGTCCCTTAATGTAGTAGCTGCTAAATCTTGTGTTATCCTGATCGTGTTTCCACAATACTTGAATTGTTTCTTTCTGGCTGCTTGTAATATTTTCTCCTTGACCTGGGAACTCTGGAATTTGGCTACAATATTCCTAGGAGTTTTCCTTTGGGAATTTCTTTCAGGAGGAGATCGATGGATTCTTTCAATTTCTATTGTGCCCTCTGATTCTAAAATATCAGGGCAGTTTTCCTTGATAATTTCTTGAAAGATGATGTCTAGGCTCTTTTTTTGATCATGGCTTTCAGATAGTCCAATAATTTTAAAATTCTCTCTCCTGGATCTATTTTTCAGGTCAGTTGTTTTTCCAATGAGATATTTCATATTATTTTCTAATTTTTCATTCTTTTGGATTTGTTTTACAGTGTCTTGATTTCTCATAAAGTCACTAGCTTCCAATTGCTCTATTCTAATTTTTAAGGAAGTATTTTCTTTAGTAATCTTTTGGACTTCCTTTTCCATTTGGCCAATTTTACTTTTTAGGGCATTCTTCTTCTAATTGGCTTTTTGGACCTCTTTTGCCATTTGGGTGAGGCTATTTTTTAAGGTGTTATTTTCTTCAGTATTTTTTTGGGTCTTCTTTAGCAAGCTGTTGACTTGTTTTTCATGTTTTTCTTGCATTACTCTCATTTCTCTTCCCAGTTTTTCCTGTACTTCTCTTACTTGCTTCTCAAAATCCCTTTTGAGCTCTTCCAAGCCCTGGGACTAATTCATATTTTTCTTGGAGGCTTTGGATGTAGGAGCTTTGACTTTGTGGTCTTCTTCTGGTTGTATGTTTTGATATTCTTTGTCACCAAAGTAAGATAATATAGTCTGACTCTTTTTGTGCTGCTAACTCATGATCCCGGCCAATTACTTGAGTTTTAAACTCTTTGTTAAGGTAAGAGTCTGCTTCCAATGTGGAGAATGTACTGTTCGAAGTTTCAGGGGTTTGTAAGCTGTTTTCAGAGATACTTCTAGGGACCTGTAAATTTTCAGTTCTTCCAAGGTGGTATGATAAGGTGCGAGGTGTTTCCTCTCCACCGCCACAACAAGCTCCACCATGCCAGCACTCCTCCTCGCCCCAGGACCACCACCCAGAACTGTGACCCAGATCCAGGCACAGGCAAAGCTAGAGATTCCTGCCTCAGCACTGGCAAAGAGATCCCTGTAATGCCCCTCTGATCAGCCACTCGATTCCCCCTCAGTCTTTGGGCCGGAAGCTCAGGAGGCAGCCATGGCCCACACTCAGGATTTGTGGCTGAAACCTAGCTTCTTCTCTCACCGCAGTCACAGACTTTTCCCACTGACCTTCTAAATTGTCTTTGGTATTCGTGGATTAAGAAGTCTGGAAATCACCACACTGCGATTCAGTCCTCTGAGGCCTGCTCCAGGTTCACTGTGGCTTGTGCACCCACATCGAACTGCACTCCTCTCCCCATCCAGTGCGATGTACCTTTCTGATCAACTGTCCAGGTTGTCTTGGGCTGGAAATTTGTTTCACTCTGTCTTTTTGTGGGTTCTGCTGCTTTAGAATTTGTTTAGAGCCATTTTTTATAGGTATTTGTAGGGGTTTGGGGGACAGCTCCAGCAAGTCACTGCTTTCATTCCGCCATCTACTAGTATACACTTTGACTTAATGTTGCTGCCACTACTATATGTTCCATAGAGATCAAAAAGAGAGAGGGAAAGATCGATATGTACAAAAATATTTATAGTAGCACTTTTTTATAGGAAAGAATTGGAAACAAAGTGGGTATCTGTCATCTGCAGACTGGACGAAAAAATTATAGAATAGAAATAGAATGGAATATTATTATGCCATAAGAAAAGATGGAAGGGACCCAGTTCAATAGAGAGTGGGCAGAAAAAAGAGAACAATTTATATGATGACTAAAATATTGCAAAGGAAAACAACTTTGAAAGATTTAGCACTGATCAATCCAACAACCAATCACATTTCCAGGGGAGTTATAATGAAGCATTCTTCCTATCCCTTGGGGGAAAGGGAATAGACCCTAGGTACAAATCTAGGCACACATTTTTAGACATGACCAATATGTGAATATTTTGCCTGACTACTGTGTTCTGAAGAATGTTTTTTTTTGGGGGGTGGAAGAGAATTGTGAGGGGAAATGGCAGTAGTGACAGAAGGACAAAAAAAAGAAAGGAAGACACGCCAGTGATACATTAAAAAAAATGCACAGAAGAAAGCAGAAGAAAACTCAGACAAGCAGAGCTTGCTAAATTTAAAATATACTTTACAAAACCAAGCTGTATGTAATACATTCAGTTTCATAGTCTCTTCTTTGTATGCAGAAATGTTCATGTTTATGTTTGTCAAGTTCATAATATTAAATAATATTAAAAAATGAAATTAAAAAAATATTCTCATGATTGGAAAGTATCACTTGTTGTTCCAAGTGAAGATAACTATTTAAGTAAACATGTGCTGGTTACATAATATAACTGTGATTAAAAAGCAGAGAATCAATGAAAAGAAAGAATTACCTTTAACAGGAAATGTATATGGTTCCTTAGTCAGATCAGGGCAATCAACTACAGAGACCTGGACCTCAGCAAAATTATTTTTAAGTCCATTCTGTAGAACTAATATGTAGAGAGGAAAAAGTTATTCATTTAACACAAGTTAATAACTGGCAACCATATGTCAAATCTTCCCTAAACATTCTGTACTTTATGTTTTCCACTAAACTTATAGGAAAAAAATAAAAAGTCCTTTCTAATAAAAAGTCCTTTCTAAGTTAAGAAATTTATTTTTTGTAATCTGTCACCACTTAATGGAAAAAAAGTACTTCCTTATTATTAATATACTCAGAACTATGCAGTAAAGAGGCACAATCATATCTCATTTTGTACAGAATAAAATTCTAAAAATAAAAACAGCTAATCTAGAACGATTACAGATCAATGGCAATAATTCAGACCACAAATTTTCTTGGTATTGTCTGTACTGGTGGTGTCACACTCAAACAGAAATGTAAGCATATTGGTTTACTTTTAAATTGCAATACTATCTATTTTTTTGTACTTTTATTTATTTTGCAATTATATTTTAATCTAGTTTGGCCTGCACTCAGGAGTGTTGCAGGTCCCAGGTGGCTCCCATATGTTTGACACCTTTGGTCTAAACACTGAACCAGGAAAAATCTTTTTATAAAGGAGTTTAAATGTTGGAGATGTTAATGAAGGTAATGAAAAATTCCTTGACCATAGATACCTCAAAAGAAAAGGATAAATTTTTATCTAGATTACTTCCATACAGTTCCATCATCTACTTATCATCAGTTGCTATAAAATAGTGATGCCTCTCCATTTCCTTTACTTGTACCAAACGATAAGTGATGATATCTTGCCTAGGAAAAACTGTGATTTGAAGTTCAAAGAAGTCCTCTCCTGAAGTTTTGAGATTGTTAGCTTTTCCCCCAGGGGTCTTTACAATAGTAATCCTGGGTTTAACTACCTTCAGGGGAATTCAGTGGGACTGGCAGCAATGGGGTCTGTAGGTTTGGTGAGTTTGGGTCTATCATCTAATGATGGCCTTAAGTGTAGTGAATCTCATGGTAGCCTTGGGGCTTACAAACTTGGTGATTCGTTGACTGAGGCCCCTAACCGTGAGGACCTTGGTGCTGAAGACCTTGATGTCCTCTCTGTAGGCACTGATAGAGTCGTAGGCTTGCATCTTCTTTAGCCTTTTCTCCTTAGCAAAGCTTAAGCTCCTCAGAAATTTAGAGCCAACACCTTTCAGAGACTCATATTTGTGGGCTTCGGTTTCTTGATGCCACTTGTGAGACTGGTTGTGGCTTAGACTTGGCCATCTGTACATGACTACTTCTGCTGCTGGGGACCATGAGGCCTCTTTTCCTCAAGCTCCTAAATCAGGCCTGTACACGGCACACCAAAACCGTAAAGGATGTAAAACAGGCCTACATAACATACCGTCTGAGGACTCTGTGTTGTGCAGGCCTGCTCTAAATCCACACCCTCTTCCACCCTGCAATAGCCTCCTACCTGACTCCCTCCTTCCCACATCTTAACCTCTCAATATCTCAACAATCTCTCTTTTCTCTCCTTTCAAAAAAAGATGTCACCCTTGTGCCAAAGTGAGCTTTTCTGCCTGCACAACTGAGGGTTCTCTAGATGCTTCTCGTTTCATCAATTATTTGTCCTCTCTCTCATGTTCACTTTCTTCTTCTCTTCAGGCTACTACCCTAGATCATGTCACTTCCACATGTCTCATCTTTCCCTTCTCTTTGCTACTAAACTTTTTTTGGGGGGTCAACTATAGATAGTTTTGAGAAATCAGATCATATCAGTCAGATGCAGTCTTTAACAGAATAAAAAACACACTAGAAATGTACCACCAAACTTCTAAATTTCTTGCTTCCACTTCCTTACTACTCATTCACTTTTCAATCTCTTGCAATTTGGTATAATTTTCACCACTATATGAAAACAGCTTTCTCCAAGGTCACTGACAATCTAATTATCACTAAATCCAAAATTCTCATTTCTCTTTGACTTCCTTGTAGCATTTAACACTGTTGTCTACCTTTCTTTTTTGATATTATCTCCTTCCATGGCTTCTATGACACAGCAGTCATACAGTTCACCAACTTTTCTGACCAATTTTCATTTTTCCTAGCTCTACATCCTCTACCCACACCTCGAAAATGAGTAGGAGGTTATACTTGTCTTATCTTTCTACACTCTCTTCCTTAGCCATCACCATGGCTTCATGGTGGTGGCTATACACTGACTTCAAAATCTATATCCTTACCTACCATCCCTCCCAAGAGCAACAGTCCTGTATTTCTAACTGCCTACTAGCACCTCAAACTCAACACATCTAAAAACATACTCATAATCTGTTTTCCCAAAACCTGTTTTCCCCCAACACCTATTTTCCATTTCTCTTGGTGGCACCACCATCTTCCCATTCAATGAGGCTTATAATTTCAGTCATCTCTGGCTGTTTTGCCTCCTTTATCCCTCATATTCACTTATCTTCCAAGTCCTGTTGATTCCACTTCTGCAATATCTCTCACATCTGTCTCTCCTCTCAACTTCCACTGAAACTACTCTTGTTTAGATAGTTTCATCTCTTCTTTCTTAGATTCATACAACAGCCTCCATATTGGTCTTCCTGCCTCCAGTGTATCCTCTTCATCAATCTATCCTTCAAACATTATTCAAGTAATCTTTCTAATGTATGACTGATCAATCTTGTTACTTTTCAATACAGAAACCATCAGGGGGTCCTCTCTGCCTACCATGTTAATAGCTAAATAAAGTGTGAACCCCAGATTTAAAGCTATCCATAATCTAGTTCTAATATATCTTTCCAGCCTTAACTCACAACACTTCGGTTCCCCAATTTCATTCTGCTCATTCCTCTTATTGTAACTTTGCTCATATTATCTAGCACACTTGGATAATTTCCCTCCTAATCATTTCCTTCTGGTGAAATGTCTCCCTCCCCCAATCCCTCCCCACCCTTGGAATGAATGGTCATTCACTCCTTAAATTTGTCAAAATACTTTGCCAGGACTTCCTTGTATTAGTCTCACTCTCTTGTATCACAGTTATTAATGTATACATATTTTCTTCTTACTACATCAGCAATCCTTTTAGAGAAAGATTTTTATTATATCAATCTCTGGCATTAATCTACAATTCAGCATCCCTATGTGTAAGATACTAGATGTACTAGATACTATGTGCTAGATACTAGATGTTCCAAGTTGATCAATAAAAGAAAGATTTTCTATAAAAAGGCATGCCAATTTCTATTAAGGAAATGTTGTAAAAGCCATGAAGAAACTAAGGGATATTTATATCTGTATTATGAAATAAACTGTGACCACCCAGGAAAAACAGATGCACAGACACCTATCACTGACTAGAGAAATGTATGGGTGACAGAAAGCCTTAGCCCCTTTTAAGATTGTAAGCTAAGAACTATCTTTTGTCTTTCTCTGTGTTCCCAGAGCTTAGCACAGTATCTAGAATATAGTAGGTATTTAATAAATATTGTTAACTGACAGAAAAAATATGAAAACTGAAGGCACAGCAATATGACAAGAAAGAAATCTGGGCATTTTCCTGGCTGTCTGCCATTTCAAGTAAAGACATTTGAAAAGGACCTACTCCAATAGCAAATACTTAATAGTTTTTTTTTTTTAAACTTCTGGTCACATGGAAGTCTGAGAAAGCTATCAATACAGAAATAAAGCAGCAAGAGAAACCTGAGCATATTTCTGAACAGCCTGTTTCATCAAGCTAGGTTGGAACAACAATATTAATTCGGTAAGACTGTTAAACAAAACAATCAACTGATACTCAATAGGATTGTTATATGTTTAGAGCTTATTCTAACTAGCAGAAATTTAATAAAACATGAAGTTGCTGCCACTGCCTGGGCCTTGAAATGAATTCCACACACATTTATTAAGTGCCTACTTTATACAGAGCCCTCTGGTGGGTGCTGGGGTGGTGAGGGGGAGGAGGACTTGCAAAACTTCAACATTTCAAAATGGCTGTGATTTGATTAGAGTGGGCACTGCTGCCACCAATCAGATTTAAATTCCTTTTATACCTTACTAGATGATTTCACTGAGGTGTTGTGGTAAAAAATATTCATTACTTGGTGCTCAACCTGGTGAGCAGCCTCTCCACACATTAGCAAGCTGGTCTTCCCATGAGAGTTACACTGAACCTGTCTTTCCTCAAGGCCTCCACTCACTTTTGAGAGCCCAAGGTCACCTTCACACCATGAAGAGGCATCAAGGGAGAACATGAGTGAAAGCTGAGGAAGGTATAAAAAGAATAAGATATGGTTCCCAATCCTCATTGGGCTTACGAGGCTGTGTTCAAGTGGCTGTGACCACAAACACAATCATATCAAATGTAATGTGGCAAGTGTATAAGAGGGAAGGGAAGTACTTCATCTCAGGAAGTAAAACTAATTTCTGACTTGGGATCAGATAGATTTGGAAACTGTGATTTTCATAGTTACTTTCCCTCAATAAAACTTGTATTTTGGTTTAAATTTATGTTCTATAATGGTGAGATTTTGTTATATTATTTTTTTTTGTGATTATGACAAAATTTCTGGCTCTGTATCCCAAGCTAAGGCTGAATTTATTATTCTTTGAAGTACAAAAGAGTTATTTCTAATTCAAAGGGAGAAAAAATGTATTCATATAATAACTTACTTTAATACTTTAAGAACCCATGATTGAAGAGGAAAAAAATCATGTAAATAACAACTTTCACAATTACATGTTCTAGATTAATTTTAAAACCCCAAAGCTGCCACAATTGTTTGTACTTACCCCCAACAAGTTCTTCTAAGCTTGGCACATGAAAAGAAAACTTCTCAACACTTGCCATTTTGCTATGCACAAAGTTGGAGGAAAAAAGATACTTTAGGCTAATTTACTAGCACTCACAGCATACCAGATATACACACAGCTGTTAACCTGTCAATGAACATAAAGAATGGCTTTTAGGTTTCTGTTGGCATGTAACTGTGTGACTCAAAAATGATGCATTTGTTTTCCTTTTTTTGGGGGGGAGGGGAGGAAGATGATGAGACACCAAGAATGACAAGTGCTCCTTCTAAATCCTCCAAAAAAGTTACCTTCTATTTATTTTGTATATAGTGATAGGGCGAGAGGCAGTGTGCTGTAATGAACAGAGAATTGGATTCCAAATCAGATCAGATATCTGACCCATACTGTCTGTGTGACCTCCTGGCAAATCACTTAACCTCTCTGCCCTAGTGAATTTTCTTAAGACTACAGTATATAATTTGCAGAGAATGGGCTAATCTGCTTTGGCAGAGGAAGCTTCCTTATCTGTGAATTCTTCATACTAATGAAAGCACAGGGCCAGTCCCTATACTCTTAGAAGATCACAGGACCACAAATTTAGTGCTTGAAGGGACCTTACTAAGGAAATCAGAGTCCAACATGATTGCCTATTTTGCAGATGAGGAAATTGAAGAACTGAGAGGTTAAATGATTCCAATATATGAATCCACATCCTGACTTCAAATCTAGTGCCTATCCCATGTCTCTGCCAATAGAACATATACTTGAGGGAAGGAATTGTTTCATTTTTGTCTTCGTATCTCCAGAGCCTTGTAAATGCTTGTAGATTATCTCAGTTTGGAGGAAATGTAGACAAAACTGTAATTGACCACTGGAAGGGAGAAGGAAGGAACAAGCACTTATATAACACCTGCTATGTGCTGGGGGGGGTGTTAGATGCTTTTTTTTTAAGCAAATATTATCTCATTTGATCTTCACAACAATCCTGGGAAGGTAGGTGCTATTATTATTCCCATTTAACTGTTGATAAAACTGAAGCAGACAGAAGTAAAGTGACTTGCTTGGGATCACACAGCCAGTAAGTATCTGAAGCCCAATTTGAACTCAGATATTCCTGTTTCTAGGCCAGTTTCTCAAGGGATCCCAAAGTGAAATGTGATCCACACTCATCACTTCTTTCAAAATCCGAGTCAACAGTATGAACCCCCTCACCTGAGAAAGGCCTAAAACCTAGATTGGCCAATCAGGAGACAGACATTTTGGCCTACTCTGACCTTAATCTACCATAATGCCTTGCATGCTCTGGCATAACAAACATGTTTTGCTTCCTCTCTGAGTGAATCCAAAATTCTCCCTCCTGTGTCAGCAACTACAAGGCAGAATGAAGCTGACTAGGAGTATTCTTCTGCCAAGGACAAGGCACCTTGACACAGATACTACCTTGAATAATGGGACTTTCCTTATCTTGGCATCTTATAGACACATGTTATGTTATATTATATTATGTCATGTTAATGATAGAAGAAACACAGATATCCTGGGTCTATACTTTCAATTGAAACTTTGACACTTTTCCTATCTTATTGTATTTACAACCTATCCAATTTAGAAATTCCTTTCTCATATCATGGTTAAAACATATGGAGACTATAATTTTGGTTGACACAGACATCCTGAGTTGGGATTACACTAAGTGTATAAAGGGTCTTCTTCAGCTTGCTTATCTCTGAGTCAGAATTATTTTCTAGGTCCCATGTATACATGTATTCTGCTACTTTAAGGCGAATAAACAATACATACATATCCCCTAGCTTGTTTGCCTCCTTTAGCCAAACTTCCAAGTCGACAATAGTTAACTTCCCTAAAAAGTCTTCCTTGATAATCTACCTCCCAACCCCATGATTCTCATTCCACAATATATAAGTATATGTGTGTGTGTATGTGTGTGTATACATATATATGCTGTATTTTGTACTTGCTTCTATATTGTTGTTAAAAATCACCTCTCGGAATCTAAACTAAATTTAAAAATCCTAGGATAGCATCTTCTACTTGATGATATCTCTTCCCTGAGGGCCTGCCTCTTTCAGTGCCAGTTTTCATTTTTCCCAATTCAAAGAAGTTGACTTCCTGACTTCAGGAACTGTAAGTTTTCCTCACAAGAACAAGCATCAGATGCTGAATAAGATGAGGGTGGCAGTTAGTAGATTAACACTGAGTTAGGGAGAATGGGGTTTTATTGCTGTAGCTACATCAAGGACAGCAGGTACATTAAAAAGAAAATTAGTAACAATTCTTTCTCTTTAATAGAGAAGAGCAATTTACTCAATAGTAGGTGTTCAATTTGATTGCTTAAAAGTAGGTATTATACCATTGTATAATACAATAAATGCAAACTTTTAAAAATACTGATAACTTATTACTTGTATTATATTAATTAGCTGCTTGAAGTTAAATCTTAGTTAAAAACAGCAACCTCCACACACCAAAAGCTTTTCTATATTTCTTGTTTGTTTACCTGACCCAGGGCAAATTCCTTCTCAGTACCCCAGGCAATTTTCCAAGACTCTAAATTGCAGAGTGGTTTGGTGCCTTCTGTATAGACAGAGGGGGCCTTTCTCCAAAGAGAGTTTCCTACCCTTGAAATGACAAGTCTGATCCAAAAAAAAAGATTCTCCATCCCCCCTTCCTTAGCCACCCCCAAAAAACAACACCCCTTAATCTTCCCCTTCCCTATGGGCTGGCACATAAAATGGATAGCTTGTACAAAGGTTGTACATTTAAATGGACCTTTGGCTGTTAAGCATTACTAGCCAAGCATTCGGCAAGCAAAGCATGATGACCCTTGCGCGGGATTTCACACCAGTACAGATAAGTGGGGAACCAAAAAGCAGAATGGACCTTTCCAAATTTGGAATGACCACAGTCAAAACATAAAGACCTAGTGGTTGGGGCCCCCTGTGTCAGGTGCTAATAATTCAGAGATATGATACAGGGGGAAACGGAAACACAGATCCAGCCTCCCCAGCAGAAGTTCACAGCTTGAGAGAGTAGGAGGCATATATACAGGAGGAAAAAGACTTAAGAAAGCTTCAGGAAGGAATAATACCAATAGCAATAATAGCTAGCATCTATATGGCATTATAAAGTTTGTAAAGTCCTTTCCCCTATTTTCTTAGAACCAGGAAGAAAGGTAATATTATTAGGGGCAGCTAAGTGGTGCTGTGGATTGAATGCTGGACTTGGAGTAAGGAAGAACTGAGTTCAATTTCTACCTCAGACACTTACATAGCTATATGATCCAGGGTGAGTCCCAGCCAGTTTCCTCATCAGTAAAATAAAGGATCAAACAAGGTTAACACCTGTAAAGCACTCTGTAAACTTTAATGGGCTATATAAATGCCAAACATCACTAACCCCATTTTATAGATGATGAAACAGGTTAAAATCTGTTGCCACGGCCTGTTGATTTCACCTTTGTAACATCTCTCCTGGGACACTGCTACCACTACCCTGGTGCAAGCCCTCACCAGCTCACACTTGAACTACAGCAATAGTGTTATTGCTGTAGTTCATGTGCTAGTGAGCCTGCTGCCTCAAGGCTCTCCCCACTCCGTAATACATTCAGCTGTCAGAATGATTTTCCTAAAATGTCACCCCCTACTCAATAAAGTCCAGTAGCTCCCTATCACCTCCAGGAGCAACTACAAAATCTTTTGTTTGGCATCTGGTGCCTTTCATCAGCTGGTCCCCTCCTGTACTCTCAAACCTTCTCTCCCAGCCCTCCCCCACCAACACACTCTCAGCGTTGGTGACCTTGGCCTCCCAGCTCTTCCTCCAGCTAGACCCTCCATCGCCTCCACTTGCAGACTCTGGGCATTTTCAGTCTTATCCCTCATGCCCACAATGCTTGTCCTCATCACCTCTACCTCCTGCTTCCTGGGCTTCTTTCAAGTCCAGCCTAAAACCTCAGATTCTTTTGGAGGCCTTTCCCAACGCCCCTTAATGTTGGAGCCTTCCCTCTCTTGATTATTTCCAGTTTATTCTCTGCATAGCTTGTTTGTACATAGTTGTTTGAGTGTTGTCTCCTTGAGGGCAGGGGCTGTCTTTTGCAGCTATGAAGTTTGGTAGAGGGAGCACCGGGCCTAACATTAGGAAGACCTTGGTTCAAATCCAGCCTTACCTAGTTACTAGATGGGTGATCCTGGGCAAATCACTTAACCTCCGTGTGCCTCAGTTTCCTCATCTGTAAAACGGTGATAACAAAAGCACTCACCTGGCAGAGTAGTTGGGAGGATCAAATGAGATAATAATTGTAAAAAGCTAAGCACAGCGTCTTGCACATTTGGGCTATACAATTATCATTTTATCTGATCTCAGAAAGGGACTAGTTCTGTGTCCTGGGCAACTCACTTAACGGCTACCTACCTGTTTCCTCATCTGTAAAATGGGAATAATATCCCTTATTCCCACGGTTGTTGTGAGGATCAAACGAAATAATCATTGTGGGAAAAGCTCTGAGCATAGTGCCAGGCACACAGCAGGCACTTAATAAATGCTTGTTCCTTCTTTGAATTCCCAGCAGCACAGTGACTACCACATAGCAAGCACTTAATAAATGTCTCATTGACTTACAGACTAAAAGAGGTTCGGGGACTAGTGCAAAGTTACACCGTTAGCTGGGGGTCCGAGGCAAAATGAACTCGGGTCTTGCTAGGACTCCAAGCCCTCGCCAGCTCAGCCACTTGAGTCAGTTCAAATCGAAGGTCAGCGGCCAAAGGCCGGCCAGGGAGGATGGTGGGGCTCCAGCAGGGACCCCCAAGCTCCCTCCTCCTCGCCCGCCCCACCCCCCTCCGGACCGTCCCACTTACAGAGCCCGGGTCGTTACCTCCGTGTCAGACGCTCGTCCTGACCGGGGCGGCACTGCCTCGGCCGAGGCCTCAGCGCACTTGGCTCCGCCTCCTCTCCATTTCCCCTCTCCCCCCACTTCCCTCACCGCCCCTCTGTGGCTCCGCCCCTTCCGAATTCCAAGCTCCGCCTCCGCCGTCCAAGATGGCGCTCGAGGGCGGGGCACGATTTCTTTCCCATTCCCGCTCCTCCCAACGCTCTTCGCTCCCGCCTTCCCTCTCGCGCCTCCCCCACCTGCGTCTTCTCGGCCGGCAGCCGATTGATCTCGCGAGATTTCTCTGCCCTTCTTAGTCGGGCGGCACGTCCCCAACGTCCTTTTTAAGCCTCGTGCGCCTCCGGACTCGGTGGCGTCAGTGTGGGTGCGAAGGAGCGCTTGGTGAGTTACCGTATTCCTCCCCCTCTCCCATCCTTCTCCCTGCCTCGGGCCGTCCTCTCACCGGGCTTCTGCTCTTAGGCGGAGGCTTGGCCCGGCGGCCGCACCACGGGTGGCCGGGCGGGACGGGGTATAGCCATGCGGCCTCCCCTGGGCCTCGCCTCTTTGGGGCACCAGCTGGGACGGCTCCTCCGCGAGTGTCGGAGGCCCAAGAGCGCCGGCTGGGTCGTGGGCCCGGTGGAACAATCCCATTAAGTGGGAGTCGGTAATTTTTTTTTCAGCCGTGTCAGATCGATATTTCGATCTCAATCGGTGTGATTAAAGAAATTTGGCAGAATCATAGGAAATTGGAGGTGGAGGAGACTTTGGAGCTTCCCCGGAGCACCCCTCGTAAGCAGGAAGCAGGCTGGAAGAGGGCCTTCCCCCTCCGCAGGGGCCGAGAGCAGATTCTACCGCCCTGCCCCCGCACCGCAAGCCATCGGGATGGGTGGGGCTACGCAAAGGTTTTACTTGTTTGTTTATTTTATTTTTCGACGGAAAGGCGCTTTGGGAATTTGAGGTTTTGACAACGTAATGAGTGAGCGCGTGGGTCTCATCTGTTTTTAAAGGCGAGATGATTGTGGAATTGCTGACCTAATGACAATGAAAGAAGCATAAATGCCATTAAAAATAATTGATGAGGTGCCTACTGTATGAGGTGCTGTGCGGTATGGATAAGTTTTACGTGAGGATTTGAGAAACTGATACTTGGGGACAGAAGGGCTAAGATGACGTCACTTGGTCTGTGAGCTTGAAGGAAGATGGCGTTCTGAGAGGTGGCGATGAAGGGGATGGGGACCTCCTGTGTAAGGCATAGAGGCAGGAAATGGTGGTTGTGCAGTTACTCAGGGAAGGTGGTTAGGGGTGCTGTAATCCCAAAATCACAGCACGCAGGTCCTGCCCGAAAGAATTCGACCCAAGCCTTATATCAGCCAAAGACAAGGTTTATCAGAACATCTGTCATGTTGGCCAGAGTCTGAACATTAGTGAGCTATTGACCAGATTATAAGAATCCGAGCATCTTAATGGAGACAAGACGGATCTTATAATACAGAAAGACTGTGGGAGGGATCTAGGAGTGGCCAAGTAGTCTGGGGTGACTGGAGGAGGGGTCTAAGGAAGATCTGGATGGGAGTGGACCTGGACAATGGAGCCTAGCTAGGATTAAGGGTGGGAAGTGGCCAGGGGCCATAGGAAGGTAAGACAATGGAGGGCAAGGCTAGGTTAAGGGTAACAGAATTGGGAGACTGGGTGTAGCCACAATTAAAGGCCAGTTGATGGAATTATAGCCTCGGGAGCGCCAGAGATTTGGCCAGTGGGAAAGTCCAGGGTTTTTCGTTTTTGGGGTCTAGCTCCCAACCTCATCAGGGCCAGCATGTAATGAGCCTCCAATACCACAGCATGTTTTATCATTGTTAGTCGTTTTACAGTCCTTTCTGACTCTTTGTGACCCCATCTGGGGTTTTGGCAAAATTACTGGAGTGGTTTACCATTTCCTTCTCCAGCTCATTTACAGGTGAAGAAACTGAGGCAAACAGGGCTAAGTGATTTGTCCAGTCCAGCAGAATGTCAGGCCTGATTTGAACTCAGGAACGTGTCTTCCTGACCTCAGATCCGGCACTATACACTGCGCCCCCTAGCTGTGTGTCCCTCCCCCACCCCTCATTTTATCGTAAAAAAGGAGACAATAAAGGTGGAGTGAAATGGTCTCTAAATTAGATAAAATACTAGGAAGCTTAAGGAAATTCTGACTGGGAATGAAAAAACACTACTATGTGCCAGGCCCTGTACTAAACAGGAGGGATACAAATAAAAAGGCATTCCCTAATGGGGGGAAGACAACACGCAAAGGAAAGCTGAAAAGGGTAAGTGCTTCCCCTTCCCATGCACTGGGAGCATGGCGGACTCCTGCAATTGCTGGGAAAAGAGTTGACTGAGCCCTTTTTAAATGGTGTCTTAGGGAGGGGTTCTTTGCTCGGTTCTTTTCCATTTGGAAGATATTGAAGAGTTGTGAGTACTAAAGTTTATAGGTGATGATTTTAGTGAGAGCATGATGATGATGGTGTGCAGCTGGTTAGAATGAATGAAATGATCAATCTGGAGTGAATCTCAGAAGTTTCTAGCAGTGGTGGGAATCCAGAAGTGGCAGGTTTCTATCTTCCTTTGCTCAAGTCAAAGGATTTTTAATTATGGCCATTTGGTTCACAAGTCAGGAAGGAACCTGGTGTGTGGATACAGTTTTGTATTGTAAGGAGAGAAAGGAAAGGCCCACTTTCAGATGGGGATAATAGCAACTGAACCCAAGCAAGTGGGTAATTTAGGACCTTGTCTTACTATGAGAATTTTTTTTTCCAATAAACTAGAAGTGATGCGGTTTAGGGGTGTAGAGACCCAAAATAATGAGGTATAGGGCAGAGTTGTCTGAAAAGAATTCATGAATTCAAGCATTCTTTAAGTTGTCAGGCAGAGCTCCTTAAGGGATTCTGCCATGGTGGGCAGAGCTCCAAACTCTTGCAACCTCACAGGAATGATGCTAAAGCTTATATAGGGAAAGTATTGGATTATGTGCCAAGTATGCTAATTAGGTGCTAAGTACAGCCTTAGTCAGAGGCATCATTCACTACTGAAACTGGGGAGGAGGATTCCTGGGGGGGGGTGTATTTTTGGTCTGTGACAAGGTAGCTTCAGGAGTTGATGTCTATAACTTAACCTTTGGATCCACAATAACTGGGAATCACAGTTATTGTTAAATCATCACAGAACGTGATAATTTGGTGCAAGATAAGTCTCCTTCATACATACAAGGGGAATTCTACAGAGGTCATCTTGTTCTTGTAGCAGGGAGAGATAATGAGATAGTTTGCCTCACTGGGTCCACTCAAGACTTACTGCCAGACATAGGATCTTTGGGCTGAGGAAAAAACTGTCAGGGATAGTGTGTTGAGGTTGGGGAGGAATATGATCTAGGAGTGGTGGGGTCCATGTACAAGCACCCCATCTGAAGGAATTTAAAAATTAAAATTTTAATTGGAAAGCTAGGTTTAGTGCTATCCATATATATATATATATATATATATATATATATGCATATTGTTGCCCCTCTCCCTCCAACACTATTTTTTAACTGAAAGAATATAATAGAAAGAGCATGAGATTCAAATTCTATGTGACCTTGAATAAGTTCCTTGACCTTTCTTTGGGCCTCAGTTTCTTTACCTATAAAAGGAGAAGGTTTTTGGAGTTCCCTTCCAGCTCTAAATGTGTAAGCCTGATTTAATTGGTTCTACAGAGTATGGTGGTGGTGGTAACTGAAATAAAAGGGATTAAGAAGTGCTGGGAGTAAACCTGGTAGCAAAAGAAATGTCAGCAATGTCACATGCATGCAGCATAACCCAGGAAATTGGGTTTAGGCTAAACAAGGAGTGAAGTGCCCACCACGGGGTCCCTATTTAGATCTGACTGTATAGAACTACCACCTAGAAAGGGGTGAAGATTTCTACTGGTCTTGTGTTCTCTGAGTGGGTGGGAGCTTTTTCCATATAAAAGAACAGATGCCACCATTGTGACTAAGAAATTGACTAAACTTAATACAGAGGTTCAAGATACCATGCATCATTGGTTCTAATAGGGTTATACTCGTCACAAGCCAGATAGTGACTGATTGAACAAGGGTTGGGGATTGACCAGAAATTGCAATACCCATATCACCCTGAAAAACCAGGACCTAAAAACTGAATTTGATGGAAGGCATATAAACATTGGGGAAATCTTTTTTCTTTTAGAGTAATGGATGAAACTCAGAATTTGAAAAGGAGTTTGAAGAAGGAAACCTCTTTGGCTTCAACTGGTTCATTGGTAAACAATGAAATGTGAGTCTCCATTTTCATAAAAGCTATTAGTCAGTGAAGATATGGTAGGAGATTTACAGAATATGGGGATTAAAATAAGGATCTGAACATAGTAAATGAACACAGATTTGATAATTGAGGGAAATATCTGTCTCCACTTTAATGGAATTAGAGGTTTTGCTGGGGAAATTTTAATAGGTTTCACATAGTTCTGTGGTGTCCATTTGGGGTTTTCTTGGGAGAGATACTGAAATGGTTCACCATTACTTCTCCAGTTCATTTTACAGTTGAGGAAACTGAGGCAAATAAGGTTTAGTGACTTGCCGGGGTCACAGAACTAGTGCTTTTTTATGTGTGCATGTTTTTACTGTGCAACAATTATACTTGGCAAAGAACTCAGATCACATGTATATTACAGTGAATGCTCCAAAAGCCTTTAGTGAATAGAAAGTATAGTAGTTTAATTGTTTGGCTTCTGGAATGCTGTGGTTGGAAGGTATCATCCTTAGCTAATGTAATAAACAGCAAATTTAAAATTTAGTGAAGTCTTTTTATTTATTTTTTTCTGTTACAGCGATGACTCAGATTCTAGCAGCAGTTTATTCAAAACTCAGTGTGATCCCCCCTCACCCAATCGAAAACCAAGAAACATATCTACCTCGAATATGATACAGTCACCTGCAAATACTCAGTTGCAAGATAACTCAAGTGACTCCTCTTCAGAACTAGAAACATTTAATTTGCAAGTTGTTTTTGAAAATTGGAAGAAA